AGCTCAGTCAGTAGGCATGGGAGCTGTCCTTGGACTAGGAGGGTACTTGGCAACAACTGAAAACATCAGTGTGTTATCAACATTCTCCTCATACTAAATCCAAAACACAGCACTAGCAAGAAATTTAACCTTATCCCAGCCGAAACCAGGACACTGTGAAAGCCAAGAGTTTGCTCAGTCAAAGCAACCAACCAATTTAGCCAGCAGAGGAGGGGAAAAAAGAGCGTTTAAATTATCTTGAAAAATAAGGCTTGGAAAAAGGAACAAGTACAGTAATAGTAGTCCTTGGAAACATTCTTGTTCAGACAAAATGTTTTCATAACCAAAAGCAGAGAAGCTGGAAGATCAACAGGGGCAGGGGGAGAGAGAGAAAAGGGAGAAAACATGATAAATGGACATTTGTTCTTTTCTAAAAATATGCTACTTAGTTATTGTCTATCTACTGGATATCAATATCACTATAGCATACAAGCTGATTTTTGCTGACAATCATAGTAGGTTAATATTGTGCCTATTGGCTAATAGAATAACCCTATAAAGCAGCAAGATTTAGCAAGCTGACCAACATCAAGGAAAGCCTCAGGGGAAGAATTTGGCATAAAATTCACCACCTGTTCCTTGCTTTATTTCCTAAAATGGATGCCCACACTTGAAAATTATTAAGCAAGGGAAACATAGAACTGAGTAGTATTATCTTGGTATGTGCTAACAGCAAAATTGGTAAATTTTTCTGAATCAGGCTACAAGGAATGATGGGATCTGTTAAGGGAAACTGTAAAATTTATAATTGGGAAACTAGTAGTTAATTAATGGAACAGATTAGTGCGTGTAAGACTGACAGATAATTATTTCCTCTGTTGGAAGTAACAGAATTAGATTTTAATAATATATATACAAATTTGATAGTAAATATACGTATACTTTGCATGTATATTTGCAAGCTACAAATGCAGTGATATAATATTATATCAGTTGCCACCAGACAATTAACAGTGGCATCTTCAGCTGTGAAAATGATAATTACACTGAAATTATAATAGAACACATGGATTTGGAACAAAACAGAAAAGATGATGTAGGTTTACATATTGCCAATAAAACTGACTGTGCCATTAATTTCATTTCCATAGCCACGTAGAAAAAAAATTCTCAAACAGCATTAATTTTCCTAATGCCATTGAGTTGTTAAAGTATCTTCAGAGGGGCTGCACAAAGCTATTTAAATCAACAATGTGAATAGCTGAGGGTGTAGCAGATTATATAGAAAGATATAGCCAAGATTAGGTAACATTGGTTAACAAGATCAGTTACTAAAGAGGCCTTTCTTTTGGTCTTCATGTAACCACAGATGATCTTGCAACAACACCGTGGTTTTTAGATCTCTGTCAATCTCATTTTTTTTTTACAAGTGGCTCATCCCATTAATGTTTAAGAAATGCATTTAACAGTTTTGCTGTTCACATTTACGTTGTTTTTACAGCAGATTTTCAATTTTGACAACTGTAAAAAGATCTGAGAGGGATGTGGAGATACGTAGATTTTATTAACAGTTTTTGCAATAAATCAGTGGATTAAAAAAAGATAGTAAAATTAATAAAATGTGATCTGCTTATATCAGTTGGCTTTTAGTAGTTTAAAAAATAAGATGGATGAGTTCACCTAGCTATATACTGGCAATTTATTACCCTAACTCTGAGAGCAATTATCAAACTAATGTGAGTGATTCCATTCCAATTATGAGCAATATTCTGAACAATTTCAAAATAGATTCTGGTCATTAGTGGACGGTGGACCAGTTAAGACAATCTTGCTGTGATGCATTTTGCACTGAACCTGTGATCAAACTAAACCAATTTTTTAAATTTACTGTCTCTCTTTCTGCACACAAAAAAACCCCTTAACATTCTTTCATTAATTGGTGTGCCTGGATTCCATATCAACCTTTTTTAAAGGACTGCTCTTTACAGCATTGAATTTCCTTTGATCGTGGTTTTTCAAGGTTAGGTGGAAGATGGCTGTTTGAAAAGCTTTAATAAGTTAAATACATTCCTCCTAACTGAATACATTCCAATGATACATTTAATATGCACAATAAAAAGCTAAAATATGTTTGCAGCTGTAGAAGAAATAAAGTTTACTTCAGTGTTATAAGCTTAACTTTTCTTATGGTGCATGGAAACATGAAAGAACATCAGTAGAATTCCAATGTACATAAACAATTTCTTAGACAGACTTTCTAATATTCAGATCCTCAAAATGTTTTACTTTATTAAGGATATTTGGAAATCAGCCACATAAAAAGGTATATTTCTGCTTTTGAAATGTATTAAGTTTTATCAAAACTGTGTAAAAAGTATCTTAAAAGCCACCAGTGCTTTTGAGAGAAAAAAGAGATAATCCTGTAACTTGCATAAACCATGAAAAAGGCAGCAAACATTGTTTTTGTTATAGTAAATCAATACTTAAAGGACATTTACAGAATTTAAAAGATGGTAACCTATATGGAGAAAAAGGGGAAATAACACAGAAAAACATCTATCCAAAGCCCATTTAAATCAATGAGGGTCCCTCCACTGACTATTTAGTGGAACTTGGATGAGGCCTCAAGATGTTAAGAAGAATATTAACTCGTAAGGAACCGGTCCGGTTTCAGTCTAAGTGACAGTTTTTCTGTTGAATTCAGTGACAATCACATCAGGCTATTTTTTATGTGAAGATCACACTTGAGGGAATCAGTCTTTAGCTTCAAGAAATGTCTGCAGTGATGGAATCTTATTTAAGATAGGTAAAATAGCCACCCAGTACCTACATGCATCAAAGAGAAACAAAGGAGCAATGTTAGACTGCAGATCACAAAATGTGCTCTGAAGAGATTTCTTTGAAGAAATACAACAAAATTCTGAATCTTTCTATTTTATTCATTGAGACTCTCATCTGCAATCATTCACCATGTACTTTAATGAGACAGCTGTACTTGAGTAACAGAGTAGTAATTTTACCACCCAGGAACTTCGACTTTTGCCCTAGGGCTTTGAAGTCCAACTTGCAAGCATCTGGCTGTTTGACTGATGATAGGCACAGTTATTTTTTAGGAAACCACTTGATAAAAAAAATGAAACAACTATTGGCATCAAATGGCACCCTTGGTGACTACGTCTGTGCTAGTTTAGGGATCAAATGGGCATGACAGCTTGAACTTGATGATTTATCATTTCACAGTGTTATGCTGTTGTCAGTGAGGTCAGTCCATAAGTTTTGTGGTTCAAAACTGTACTTTTGCTTCCTATCTCGCCCTGCTCTGTGACATGTAACAACTGAAGTCTTGCATCCTATCCATACACCACTGCCATAAAGAAGGGATTAAATCATTTGCCATTAGAACTGATCATTTCTACAGCTGACAAATACATGAGGCGTGTAATTTCAGGGTAACAGAGCAGTGGTTTAGCTTAGATTTACATTTAAATTTTAAATCTGCCTCCGGAGGCTATAGCAAAAGAATTCAGGAACGGCAGAAATACTCATTAAGATTCTAAACAAAAACTGAAAAGGATGAATATTCTGCTACAAGATAGAAAGAACGAATTTTTAGTATGGACAAAAATGGCCTTAAAAGTGTTTATTCATAATTTAATGAATACTCTGAAAGTTATGACAAAAGAATTCTCTTGTACTTAACTAGTCAACATGTTAAGTAATGGCAAAAGAGTAATCCCAAGCATACCAAACTGAAAATGGTCTCTGTAAGAGCAAAAATGGATCAGACAGTCATCAAAATTTAGGTCTATGCACAGAAGAAACATCATGATGTTTGGTGCCACTGCCCTTCTCAAAAAACTTCTAAAACAGTAAAGCTTATCCATGATGATTTAAATTTTAATTTACATGAAAAAAACTTTCAGATTTATTTTTGTTTAAATTTCCTCTTTAAAAAGTAAAATGAATTCTTGTAAGTATAGAGGGGGTTTGCCTGCAGTATAAAGAACGAGTAGTTGGCTGTAATACAAGATGTCTACATTTCAAATAAATGTAAGAAAATATTTCTTCTAACTTTGTGATTCACTATATAGATTTATATTTATTGAAATTCAGAGGTCTTAGTGGATAACAAAATGAAAGAGATATTTGCCAATTAATACACAGGCTTAAGAAGGTAGGGACAGTGAAGTCACACATTCTGGGGTATAAAAGAATGCTAGAGGATCAAAAAAACAGTCACTGGCTGGATTAGATAATACACATCTGATGCCATTTGTGCCTTCATCTTAACATCATCCCGGATGATGCAGTGGCCTCGGTTTTCAGCAAATTTGTATGGCCATTACTAATATGAATTCACTCAAATTATCTTCTTAAAACTCCCAGTCTGTCTTCCTCAAAATACTGAGTAAGGTACCAGCGATCCCAAAACATAATCTCCGTAGTTTGACCAGCAGAGGTTTCCTGCAGGCCCCCTGAAGGATGTTGTCTATCTATTAATGCTTGCAGTGTTAACAAGGCGTTGCCTTTTGCAACCTCATCTCTCCCTAAGGGCAGAGCAGAGAGAATAAGGATCAGTCTCCTTACAACCCCTCTGATGTGTTAAAACTTTGACAACCCTCGAATCCTAATCAAAATTATCAGCTTCACCATCTGGTCAGTGGGATCAAGTGCCACACAAGATTTTCTCAACTCCCACGGATGAAATTGAATGGGTAGCTACTGAGGATGCAGCTCATGTATATATAAGCTTGAGGGTATGTTATGCTCTTGCCAGATATGAATATTGTATGTTCTTTGTCCATTAGCTGTTATGAATTTCCCTGGCTGCTGCAGAGAACACTACTGATGTACTGGGGTGAATGTGCATTCCCAAGTTCTTGCTCAGCTTTCAGTTTGGCTGTGCCCCCCTTGCTTCCCTGTGACTATTTGCCCAAATGGACTTCTGCTTCAGAAATGTTAAGAATGACTGTTCACTGTAGGCAACAACCCATTCTTACAAAGAAACCTGACTATTAGCACTTTCTGCTGGAAAAAGTCAAATCCTTATTTCTTATTCAACTAGAAAGGAGTCCATTTTACTATCATATGATTTACTAAAAAAGAACAATCTCTTGGCAAGAAAGACTGATTAGACATGTTAAAAAGGGACAAAACGATTACATAATATATGTGGATATTATACTACCTGGCATGATACAATAAATAAGTTAGAACTCTGGCTGAAAGCAAGGTGCCTGTGTTATACACCTAACGGCTGTGCTGACAACCTGTCAAGGGAAGGGAAAGACTAGTGAAGTGATTCTATATGCATTAGTTCATTCAGAAGTTTGAGTGGCTTTTTATAACTGATTTTATTCAATTAAGAGGGTCCTTCCACATCTTAACAGCTATAGAAAGAATTTTATCCTCTTATGACTTGTTTCTGCTGTGCAATTAGAATTCAAAAAAGTATCATCTGCCCTGTCACGGGCTTTGTGAAACCCTTCATACATCAGCAACAGAAAGAGCAGGAGAAAGAGCCCAGAGAGAAAGGCTTGTCAGGAAGAGACAGGTATGTGTGTGACATGGTAGTGCTGTAGAAATTTTGAAGACAGTTATCTTCGAGCACACACAGATGGGCATGATCTCCCTTGGGGCAAAATGCTGCAGACGTAGCATGGAAGAGCCAAGAACTGGGAATGTGTAAACGTGTGTCAAAGCACTTTTAGTGTTCTGTGTTAGGCAAATTCATGAATCTATACAAATCAGTCTGTAAGTCATAAGTTAACATTCGTTCATCTGAAAAGTACCTGTTTAGTAGTCTTGCTCAATTTAAACTTATGTGTGCTTGAACAACTGAGCTTGTTTCTGTTATTTCCTACCTTTTGAGAGTTTGATTTTGTTAATTTGAAAATAAGATACAAGTGAACACACAGTTGTGACTCTGACTACCTAGGTCATCTTTGGCAGACCACTTAAATTTTTGCTCCAGTTTTTGCATCCATAAATTGAAGACATTTATCTTTCAACCATTGCTAAGCATATTGAAACAATTAATGACTTAATTTCCTAAATAAAGGAAAATTGTCCAGCCTGTGAATTGTAAGTGTTCCATTATTCCTAGTTTCCTTACTTTTTAAAAATCACCGAGTTAGCAATTAGTTAGTGCTTTTGTCATAAAGGTTGCCTCTTTTTCAGTGATCTACTGGGCATAGATCATATGTGTTAGGAACCAATGAGTATAACCAATCTTTTTTTCTCTACTACTGGCCTTATTTCTGCAGTATGTACGTGTGTCTTTTGACACAAAGCCTGACCTTCTTCTGCATCTGATGACCAAAGAGTGGCAGCTCGAGCTCCCTAAACTTCTCATCTCTGTGCACGGGGGCCTTCAGAATTTTGAACTTCAGCCAAAACTCAAGCAAGTCTTTGGAAAAGGCCTCATTAAGGCTGCTATGACAACTGGAGCATGGATATTCACTGGAGGAGTAAACACAGGTAACAGCAACATTGAAATGAGAGCACAGTGGCATCTAGGAGATTCCATCACAGCAGAAAATTAGGACTGATGAGATTAAGAAGCCATTCCGTGTTTTATTTTATTAGTGTTGGTTGTACTATGTGCAAACAAGAAAATGCCAAGTTCATACCAGCCTGGCAGCTACCAGGGAATAAAAGGTTTGCTAAAGCATGACAAGCACACTGGGGAGCTGAAAATAAAGCCTCCTGTGAGGCAATTATATTAGTATATTGCCAGTGAAGACTTTATAAGATCAGCAGTAAGCAACAGGGAGGGACTACTAACCAGAAACTGAAGAAGTCAAACTCTTATTACATAAAATGGAAAACATTTTCATCCAGAAAAGACATTTATTTTATCTTATAAGATGATCTGAAATATGAAAGGAAAAAAGGTTCTGTTTTGTGGATGTGGTGGAAAACTTTATTTTGAATAAGTATCACTTTTTCCTTTCTTGTGGACAGCTTGACCTAATTTTTTTCTATTACCCCTGCAGCAAGAGCGATAACATTGCCATTTCTATTCAAAGTTAAGAACAGCTGTAACATACCATATGAGTGTCCAAATGACCCGAGATAGCAACTGGCCCAGCTCTGCTAGGAGACAGCATGTAGGTTTTGGGAATAAGCTGCAAAACATAGTTCCCCATAGTAAAAATATTGGGCAGTGGATTCCCACTTACCCTCCCTGAAGGAAGCAGAAAGGAGGAGAAAGTCAAGGGAAAGTCAAAGAGTTCTGATAGAGATAAATGCAAAAAGTTTTGGGCTAGGATATGTACTTGTAAATTCTTATGTCATTCTCATTTGCTGCAGTAACAAAGCTATAATTTATTACTTTAGTAATCCCAGAGAGTGTATCCTCTTATTGTCTATGGAAAATATTGTAATGACTCTATCATGCGTTAATTTTAGCACATTGTGGATCAACTCCTACATATTCGAATACGAATGCTTAATAGGAGTCTTGGGCTTTCTAGTTTGCAGAGCACATCAAATTTAAAACAATGTTCAGTTTTATCACAGCAGCAATACAAATAACAAGGAAGAGGCATAGCTTCTGGAGTGTTAGATAAATGGACAGACTCACATGTATGTAATATCCCCCACATCTCTGCAGAACAAAGAAGAAAATCAGGTTAAATATTGACCTGTGTACTGTGGTGATAATAGTTATGTTAGTTGCCAAATACTCCTGCAGTGATGATGGTGAAGACAGATACAAATTTTACATTAAAAGCATATTAAAAAACTGTAGCTTTTGTACACTCTTTGCAGTGGATTACCACAGGAACTGTAGAAATCAAACTACAGAAATTTTCTAAACAACGACTGACTGCAACATTTGCATTTGGCAAATGCATGACTGCTTCATCCCATTTTTCAAATCACCATAGTTGCAAATGCCAAAACAATACAAATGAACGAGGAAAGTCAACATAATTACTGTTGAAAAGGATTTTTTCCCCTGTAATCAAAAATTACCTAGACAAAACCATGACGTTCGAGTTGCTTGTGTTATTTGAAAAACATAACTCCAGAAGCAGTTCTGTGTTATCAGTTACCATTCATTGCTGGTTTTGATTTCTGGAGCAAAGCAGTTGATTGCTCCTGGGCTAGGGTTTCAAACTGTGTAGGTGAAAATTAAGTGGTTCATTTCTATGTGAAATTGTACAAATTGAGAATTTCTGAGTACAGTCTGTTCTGTTGATGATAAATTTTTATATCAGATTTCTCTTAAGGAAAAGTATAATTGAAAAATCCTGAAATACTACTGTTGGACTGAGAATCAGTTCTGTGACAGGGATGGTACATACTTGGCTATAACTATGACTGTTAAATGACTTCAGCAAGTTGTTCTGAATATTCATATCATGCCAAAAGTTGGTTATTCTAAATAGCAAAAGTTTTCTGATTTGAATTCTTTGGGTTGCTGGATCATAGCTTAATTCATAGCTGATTGCAGGTACAGAGGTTTTTTTTTCCTTTTCCACCACAGGAAGGAAATTAGACTCCAGAACTTACCCAGGGGATTTGTTAGGTTGTGGGGTTTTTTCTTACATGGTTCATTTACGGTGCAGAAAAACTATGGCTAAAATCACATCTATTGTGTGACTGTTGTAATTCCAATCCAGTCACCTTGAAATTGTGGAATCTCAACATGGAGCAAACACACAAACTGAGTAACAGATAACATCTGCAGCATGTCCACAGGTCTGCTTCAGTGCAGCCACATCACAAAAATAGTTATTGATACACAGGTAAAAAAATTATTTTATGAAAAGGAAGGAGGAATGTCACTTGTCCTCTGCACAGAGATACCACTGAAATACTGACAAAGCTGGCCTAAAGCATACAAGGAGCATTATCAGAAAGCACTTGGAAGAGAGCTGGGGAGCAGACATTGTCTCTGTACTAATTTCTGTTTTCTCACTGATCCCCAGGAGGTTTTCTAATACTCCACTGGAAGCTATCTCAGGTGACTGAGTTTGGTTGGAAATAATGGTAGGATGGGTCACCACAGAGTAGTGTAATGAAGTTTTCACATTTCCGTCCTTTATTCAAACAGAAGGGAACACTTCTGTGTGAGCTACACTTTTTGGGGGGCTTTGGGAGGGGGGCATTAATTCCTGTGCTTCTTTCTATGCTTGGGAAGGGTGCAAATGCTTGCATGCACATATGTTTGTGAACATAAGTGCAGATAAACAAGTTACAGTCAGCTGTCAACATTTCCATTGTTATTTCTAGAGCTGTGTGATTTTTTTTTTTGCTACTTCATTTAATATTTTTTAGATTAGATAAAGTGGACTTACAGTGTTACTGTAATAATAACCAATAGGAATATATTCATAGCTTTACTTAATTTTAAGTATATGCATAGGTGTTCCCTAAAAAAGAATTCTATACTAAATCCATATCATAATGAACAAAAAGGACCTAATTTTGAATTTCTTTTTTATGCTTTTTATGTTTCTTTCCCAGGAGTCATTCGGCATGTTGGAGATGCACTGAAAGATCATGCCTCAAAATCTCGAGGGAAGATCTGCACCATCGGTATAGCTCCCTGGGGGATTGTGGAAAATCAAGAGGATCTGATTGGCAAAGATGTAAGCCCTATATGGACATAGATCACCTGCAATATATATAAATCTTCCAGTTACTTTTCCTTTCCTCTCCGTACCTCACTTAACAATTCCTCATAAAATTAATGTCTGCAGCAAAAAATCAATACATACACAGGTTTTCAATTGTGGTTGATAGCAGTTTTGACATGGCAACAATAAAAATTTCAGCCCTGTACATTCTTTAAAAATAAATTATAAAGAAATTTCATTAAATGCTAGTCTTGAAAATATATTCAAGTTTCATCCTTAGAACACTATGAACCCTGAAAAGTGCCTAAGAAAACACTGATTGCAAAGCTTGAAGTCTGATTTATTTTGAAACAATACTATGATGCATTGGTTAAATTCAGAATTGCAGACTGTCCCCCTTATAATATATTCCGCCCTATACATTTTTATTACTGCAATTGTGAAAAGTTTTGTAAATGTATTGGACATGAGATCAGACCTCAAAGAATCATCACTTCAGTCACCTTCTGAAGTGCAAAGTCAGTGTTTCTTGTACGCTTTCACATCATCCTTCTCTTTTAAACCTATACTGTCACTCAGAAAGATTAACCCCCCAATTTTAAATACATGAATAGTTTACTTAGGCTGGTTATATGTTACCTGAAGCTTTTCTGAGCTCTTTTTTTTTTCCTCACCTCTGGTTCATTCCCAAGCAATCTGCCTGAGAACTAGTGGCTAACTTTGAGTGAAGAGGAGATATAGTCTTCGTTCCACATAATGAACGTTTTTCTTGTCTACATAATTCTAAACCATTCCTCTCTGTATGTTTGTCCACTAGCAAGTTGGGGAAGGGAAGAAGATTCAATTGTCAGTCAGGTCAGAGGGAATTACACTGAGTATGAAGAAATTGATCCAACTGGAATTTGTTGCAATTCACTATTAAAGCATAGCCATTAGGGGGAATTGTATTAGCATGGGGTTTTACGCTCTAATACCACCAGCGCTTGTATAATAGGGTTACTACTACATACAAACAAGCAGGATGGGATGCTGCAGCAGTAATTCTGAGTCACTAATGAACTCTTCTGAGATGCAGTGGGAAAGGTAACTAGCAGAAATAGCTAATCACAAAGATAAGGTGCATCTTGTTAAAGAAGTGTAATGTACACATCAATTTCAAATAAGGAGTATTTACTGACTATGCATGGAGTTCTGGAAGCATGGCAAGACGAAAGAAGGCAAGAAAGGACATCAAATTAGTCATGAATTTTGGGACATCATTGTTATTCTTCCATAAGTTATTTCCACCTGTGGAAAGCTACCTACCTCTATTCTCAGCTAGTCACTGCCTGTTAAAGTGGCTCTGGAGCCTTGTTTTACAGAAAAAGCTGAAGACAGAAGTTGGTTTCCCAGCTGTTCCAGTGAACTGGAACAGCCCCCCCTGATTTCTGATTTCTTTAAGAGATGTTTTCCTCTAAATATCCTTCCAATTTAACAGGAAACCAAGATCTTGTATGCTAACTTTTTTTAAAAAAATCTTTCTGGTAAATCAAAAAAGTTTAATATTTAATCTGATCATCAGACAGAAAGTGACAAAAGTTTAAAAAACAGTAAAGAAAACAAATTTGGGTAAAGACTCCCATTAATGCAGCCACAATTATATTAGTAGGATGACAATTACAGGGTCATGACTAAAGACGAAACTAGTTCCAAAATGTATCTGTGATAGACAAAATTGAAACTTTTCCTCCGAACCTCCTGGCCTCTAATATTTTCATAAAATGATTGATCAATGGCATGATGCAATGCTGAAACACTTCTGGTTTTATCCATCTCTAATGCACATGTAATGATATTGCTTTATGCTTACCGATATTGAATTTCATCTTCCATTTTATTGCCTCGTCAGGCTGCTTTATGAAGACTTTCTTTAACTCTTCATAGTCACTCTTAGCAACCCCAAATCCCTTACAACTGTGTTGAACAGGACATGACCCAGCTTGAGGTAGGCCACTTATGTCACTGAATATTCTTAGTAACACTCAGACTTTGCAAAAATTAACTTTTCTTTCTTACAGCTTTCCCTCCCTTCCCCTCAGCTTTCCCCAGTTACTAATCCCTCAAATGGCTTTCACTCTTATCCCATGTGTGCAGTTTCTTTAGAAGCATTTGGTGAGGAAGCTTTTTGAAAGCTTTTTGAAAATCAAAGTGTACTATATTGACTGGCTCATTAGAGGTGAATGCTGTGAAATGAACCAAGAAGGGGAAATATAAATAGTACCATGAGCATGTAAAACGAATCATCATTAAGCAAGAAACAAAGGCCACAAGGGATTATGCAGGGAGAAAAAAAAGTCAACCAATAGTAAAAGGCCTGTCGAACTCTGGCAGCAATGCGGCTTTATGCTTATATGCACTATGTCTACCTAAATTATGATCAGAACTGAAGAGTTGTCAAAACATACCCTTCCAGCATCAGACAGATACAGAAAATTGTCTTAGTCATGGGATTTGGGGCGGGGGAGGGAAGGGGCGGAGTTATGGCCATCACACATGCCCTAGTGCACGTTGCCTCCCTGTGCCTCGTGGCAAGTCAGGCGTGCACCGCAGAGCTGTGCCTATGCTAATGCGCTAGCCCTCGCCTGGCCTGCATGGATCCTGAAGTCATAGCTGAGGAGTTTTATTACATTTACCAGTCCATCCAAATCAGTCAGCTTTTGGGAATCCCAAGGGCTTTCCTCAGAGCCATAAAGAGAACTGGCCAAGTTAAGCAAAATATTGCTGTTGTTTGCTATTTGTTATATTGTGATGGTTAAAGATCCCTGAAGAGGCCTGTCTTAGCTCCAGTGCTGTAAAAGCAATATAGCAGAAAATAGTGCCCCTCTTAACACACTTAGATTCTCATTTTAAAAAAAAAGCACACAAGGGAAGGGTAGTTAGTTGCCTTATTTCCAACTTTCTGATAGAAAAACTGAGAAAGTAAGGTGGCTTGCCCAGTCTTGTAGAAAACTCGGATTACAAACAAGTTTCTCCCTACGCACAGAGCCCTTCTTCCTTTTAAAAGAGTGCACTTTGTGAGTCTTCATAGCATGCATGTCTTTCCTTTCAGAGTCTGTTCAGTCCTCGTTTGGGTTTAATTCCTAGTCACCTCAGTAGGAACAGTGCCTGGATTACAAAGAGAACACTGATTTTAGTACTTTCCTTTTGCTCAATGAAATCATTCAAATCAGTTTCATTTTTAATCCAAAGAAGCTAGTATTTGAGACTTAAAACAAAATATGCTTTTATTGCACGACTCAGTAAAAAGGACATTTCCAGCATACTGTGATATGTCATTGATCAGTTAGTATACAATCTACTAACTTAAATAGAATGCATTTTTTAGTAATTAAAGTTTTGAGAAAAAAAACCCTAAACTTTTTCTTACTGATCTAATTGAAACTGAAATTGAGCTTCTGTGCTGCCATGCTGAATCACTACAAAACCCATCACATCCACTCTTCCATGCCTGCTATAAAAATCCTTCCATCTGTGGATCCAGCAGGTTGACATAAGGAGAAATTCCTAAATTCTTTCCAAATTTCTTGGGTTTTATTTGTATCCCTTGGAGTACTGTAATAGCCGTGGATTATAGTGTGTTTCTCTCCCTATATTACTTCATTGATCTTTTGGTTACGCTCAACAACTAGAGTATGGCAAAACTGAAGCTCAGCAGGGATTTTGGAAAAATACTTATTATTT